CTGATGCTTAGTTTGCTATAATCCTAGTGTTTTATGGTATTATCCTTAAATGATCAACCTAGGTGCACAAGTTGTCAAAGTAAGATTGCCTTTTGGCTGAACGGACTTGGTGCCCGCTGTCATTCGCTGTGACCCCACAATAATTATTACCATTTCAATCTAATTCCAGCAACGTCATGCGCATCGCACCAGAGCATTTTTTTATCCTATAATCGCACCAAGAAGGTTACTTCGATTAATCATTAATTAAGTTAAAACATGCATTCTACCTTCGTTGTTGTACCTGGGGCGATTATTCGTTCGCTCACAACAGATATGTCTAGTGCTTTGCTTTGAACAATAATGTACTTCAACTACGCGCAATGTGGAATTGAAAACCGTAAACTGTTCACAAAATGCACTAACACCCCTGTCGATTTCATGTATCATTGGTTTACAGTAGCCAAAACGCTGCTCTGTAGTTTTTTCCCAATTGTATGACTCATTCAAGAAGAATCTGAACAAATTTGAGAAGTAATACATATTTATGTACAAAATAATATATGTATATACGCGACAACAAGACAGGTCGAGTCACTCTTTGGACGCGAGGCCATCTAATGAGCAAGCAGATCTACCAGCAAGTGGCCCCGCGAACACTCTGTGGCGTCCGCAGTCGAGAAGAGGCTGGCCATGATACCCCGAAGGATTGCCGATGGGTAAGAATAATCTTGTGGGGTTTTCAATCTGTCGTCCACGAAGGCTCTGTCTCAGTGACGTTTTGGTTTACTGTAAGTATTAACTACAGCGTAGTAGTTGTGAATGTACTGCTAGTAGTTGTACTTGTAACTTGGTCGCAACAACTTGGTTGTGAGCACTAATTGACGTCGAAATTCCAAAATTTTGACCTATAACAACGCAGTCCTCATCAACTGAAAATGTTGAATGTAATATAATTTCCAGCAAACCCAACATCGAAATAATATTGCCGCATACAATTTTCAAGATATTTCTCTAGTACCATATTTTCGTTATTTTAATATTGTTGCACTATTCAATCTTTAAGAAGAAATTGTATTATTTATCCAATGGGTGACAAGTACTTCTACGCCCTAGTACATGATATAATGCATGATTTATCTTGGACATACT